ACAGTATATAAAGAGAGAGCAAACCCCATCCCATTCTAGCACTGAAGATGTTACCTAGCCAGGTAATGAAACATTTTCAAGAAAAGAACCAGGCTCAGAGAATCCCAAGGACTCCACAGTTCAACCCTGAGCTACACATATTCGCTTCTATTGATACAAATCTGTGCCTTTCGTCAGTGTAGGCTGATTTGCTATGACATGGACAGAGATAGCCTTGCATTATAAGCTGGGCTGCTTTTGACAGTGATCCACAAACTTCATTTGATCCAACAAGGCAGCTAGACAACTAACTAACAGCTGGTCAAGACAGTCATGGCATGTCAGTGGTCTGCCATCTGAACTGGCTACCAATCCATTTCTAGGACCAGCTCAGATCACTGGTATTAAATCTGTACAGTCCTTATCTAAATAGCTTGAGACCAGGGCTACTGTAGGATGTATCACTGTATGTACCAGGTCTCTACAGTCTTCACTTAGGGACCATTTCCAAGTATTCAGATATACAAAGCAGGGGATCCCTAGATCCCTTTCAGTGGTAGCACCCATATTCAAAATGCCCATCCTGGGCACCTACATTAAGTAAAAATCCTAATCAATTTATAAGCTCTTCCAAGGGAAGACTTCATCATTTCTCCAAACGTTTTGGTGCTGTAAAATGCCAGTGTTCTGCTATTGGTATTGAGATTATTAGCTGCATTTCCTGACACTCCTTATTTTTCCCCTTATCTTTATGCTGTTCTCTGGGTAGGCTTTTAATTGTGCATTTCTGTTTCTTATATATTTCAGGAGTGTGAGGAGAAGATGCTCAGGTCCTTTGGAAGATAGGATCATATCAGCCTTGCAATGAAGATGCTTGAAATACAGGAAAGAGGTGTAGATGAGTGCCATTACCACCAGGAGGTGCTGTTCATTAAGGAAATTCACATTTGTAAAAGTGGTGGTGGATACTTCCAATACATTGCTGACACTAGAGACTATCTGAAATTGGGAAGTCAACATGCAATATTATGAGATATTCACCATCTGGTATTTAATATCATCTCTTTACATATTATTATTGTTGGTCGCACAGTCATCCAGATGTTTCGACTGGATTTGGCATTTTATCCACCCATCGAGTCCTTCCCAAGGACCTGGGATAGGCAGATGTTGTTTAATGGTGTTAAAGGTATTGTTGCAGGATGTAAGTTGTTCCAAGTAAAAGTGCCTTTTGCAATTGACTCTATTATTATTATTATTATTATTATTATTATTATTATTATTATTATTATTATTATTTCTACCGTCTTCAAACAGTTAGGAAATCATGGATTTCTCTCCTCCCTCCCCATATTAAGCTTCATAACAATCCTGTGAAGTAAGATAAGTTTGAGGGAGAAATAATTTGTTAAAGAGATGGAGCTTCTGTTGAAAGACACTGTAATACTTTCATGGAAAGAGACCATAAGAAATTTCCAAAAACTCTCCATAGTCGTTAAAGAAATATAATTCGGATTTAAGACCACCAATTGTTCCACCACTGTTTCTCCAATTCTAATGCTACCACACTTGTGTAGGACACCTGTTTCTGTTGCACATTTGGATCAATTTCTGTCTTCTGGCATTAAATTCAGTTAGAAAAAAGCTGTTAGCCATGTGGCTAGAGCTGACTTAAAGAACTGCAATTTAGTTAAATTTGACTTACATCTGTAAATTAAAGGAGTATCCCCACAAACTTACAGAAGCAAAACCAGAGAAGGTACAACAGAATTCAATTCAAAGAGGTGTCTTAAACAAATAAGCCATAGCCAAATTATAACAACCCTAATCCTAAAATGTCTCCACACAAAGTATTTTGATTGGCTCAGCTTTGTGTTCATCATGATGCAAGTAAAAAGGGATATGGATTCAATCATGTGTTGTGGCAGCCATCTTGAATTTTCTGGCCCACCTTACCGATGTCCCTGCCGTACCTGAAGTAGTTTTAGGGCTAGGAAGGGGGTTGGGAAGGGGACCGCCTGCCTGGTACCTTTTCTGTTGTGGAGGTCCTTTCCTTATTTTACTTTACTTCTTCTAAATTAAAGCCTAATCCCATTAACTCGGGGTTATCTCAAATGGATCCATTACTTCTTCTGCAACCAAATGCTTTCCTGGTTTGGACATTCTTTTGGTTCAATTTCTTTCTATATGAGAATCCCACAGGTGGGATCAGACAATTGAGAGCGGAAAGCAAAGCTATCAATTTTGCTTCGGATTATTTTGCATTTGCTTTAGCTCTTTCACAGCCACTGCATAGATTAAGGTTTGTGGCAACAACAAAAAATCCAGAGAAAATTTGAACTGAGATCAAACATTCATGGAATATATGGATTTCATCAAAGGCTGAGAATTGTTGTGGATTTGGAAGCAACAAAATCAGCAGGGTTTGTTTTTTTTTAATGAAAGTTTCCACTTTTTTTTTTTTTAAACTAGCCCTTAAATTGCTTGAATTTTATTTATGGTACACCCTCTTTCATTTTGTTGTGGATTCAGTCTGAAGAAGGAGCACAACACTGAGGAGAAGAACCGTGCTTATTGCAACAATTGATCCTTGGGTGCCTGCTTTACAAGAAAGAGGGACAACAAACAATGGAGAAGCAAAGATTTTTACAGATGTTGAGGGCTATGTTGGAAGAAAAAGTTATCTTACCAAGTCCGTTTCTGAGCCGGGAGTAAAGACACTGACGAATT